TATTAAGGAGTTATGAGCGTTTTTAAAAAAGGCTATTTTTCCTCTTTAAATAACTGCGATTAAAATGATGCTAAAACCCCGAAATGTCAATATTTAAGGAGTTATGAGCGTTAAAAAAAGGCTATTTTTACTCTTTAATAACTGCGATTAAAAATGATGCTAAAAACCCCGGAAATGTCTATTAAGGAGTTATGAGCGTTTTTAAAAAGGCTCTTTTCCTCTTTAAATAACTGCGATTAAAATGATTCCTAAAAACCCCGAAATGTCATATTAAGGAGTTATGAGCGTTTTTAAAAAAGGCTATTTTTCCTCTTTAGGAAACTGCGATTAAAATGATGCTAAAAACCCCCGAAATGTCAATATTTAAGGAGTTATGAGCGTTTTAAAAAGCTATTTTTCCTCTTTAAAACTGCGATTAAAATGATGCTAAAAACCCCCGAAATGTCAATATTTAAGGAGTTATGAGATTTTAAAAACGGCTATTTTCAAAAACTTTAAATTTGACTGCGATTAAAAGCACTAAAAACCCCGAAATGTCAATATTTAAGGATTATGAGCATTTTAAAAAAGCTATTTTTCCTCTTTAAATAACTGCGATTAAATGATGCTAAAAACTTGCCGAAATGTCAATATTTAAGACCCATTGAGAACTTAAAAAAATTTATTTTTCCTCTTTAATAAGGTGCGATTAAAATGATGCTATAAAACGTGGAAATGTCAATATTTAAGGAGTTATGAGCGTTTCTTCCAAAGAAATTTTTCCTCTTTGAAATAATTGCGATTAAAATTATGCTAAAAACCCCGAAAGTCAATATTTGAGGAGTTATGAGCGTTTTAAAAAAGGCTTTTATATCTTTAAATACTCATGCGATTAATTCTATGCTAAAAGTTTCGAAAATGTCTATATTTAAGGATTTATGAGCATTTTAAAAAGGCTATTTTAAGGTCTTTAATAACTGCGATAAAACTATGCTAAAAACCCGAAATGTCAATATTTAAGGAGTTATGAGCTTTTAAAAAGGCTATTTTCCTCTTTAATAACGCGATTAAAATGATGCTAAAAACCCCGAAATGTCATTCCATCTAAAAAAGATAGAAGATCTGTCGAGGGACCTTTCGAGGAGCTTTTATCCCCAGAGAACCTGTCGATAGTTGCCCATTTAAAGAAGATATGTAGAAAATATTGTATCCATAAAAGATCTTATATCCATCGAGGACCAGTTAAGGATATCCTGTGGACAGAAAACATGTCCTGTTTAAACAGAATACCCTTAGGATGTTCTCTATCTAAAGAAGAGTAGTAGAAAGTCCGCTGTATTCGGAAGTTCTGCCTGAATGCCTGAAAAAGGAAAGAATGCCTGACTGACTTAACAATTCATCAACGCCCACAAGAAATGGCTGAAGCTAGAATCTTGAAGTTTTGGGTCAGATAAGTTCTTTTTTTTGGAAATTCGTACTAGAATGATACGAAAAGGTACTACAGGTACTTTTTATTTGAGCAAGCAGTAGAGGTAGAATTCTTAAAGGGTCACTGATAGAGCATATGTTAGATATACCAAAACGTGTTTGGAAATTCGCACGTTCCATCCATTCATCCATATACGAGTGTACGAAAAGTAAAAAGTGTACAACATTGGTACCATTTCGTGAACATTTGGTACCATGTTGAAATTCGGAATGGGAATCAAGGTTGAGGGGTAGAATCGATGTAAGGAGGTAGTTTTGGAAGTGTACGCTTATGTATATGAAAAGTACCAAACGGTACTAAATTTAGTACAATTTGAATTTGGAGGAACGCATGGAGCTGAAATCCTGAATTTTGAAATTAACATTATTCGCGGAGTGTAGTATTGGGATATGGAGAAAGTTTTCTAAATGTGTACTTATGAGCACAAAAAGTATCAAATGGTGCTAAATTTGGTACAATTGCGATTTGGGTGCGATAGAACAGAAATTTTGAAATTTAGAAATAATATACCTATTGTATTCTCGGTAGTTTTGGAAATTCGTACTTATTTGCACAATTTAAATTTTGGGAGAACCAATCGAGTTAGAATCCTGAAATTTGGAAATAAAATTGCTATTGCATTGTAGAACTGAAATATGCAGGCAGTTTTGGAAATTCGTACAATTCAAAACTGTGGGTAGACCGAAGGTGATGGAATCTTGAAATGTGGAAATAAGATTTCATTGGACTGCATGATGTATGTAGTTATGAAATATTGTACTTAAGTGTACTAAACGGTACTAAATTTGGTATGATTTGATTAAGGGTAAACGGATGAATATGGAATTTTGAAATTTTGTATTGGGATGCCTATTGGCGGTTGGTTTGTGATAAAGAGGTGGGTCTTGGAATGGTATTAGGGTTGCTATTTATGTCTGAGCCTGGACATATGGTTTCGGTAATGTGTACTATAATTGTACGAAAAGTACTGAATGGTACTATATTTGGTATTTGGTGAGGGATTACTCTGATGGTATCTGTGTATGAGACTTGGCCGTGGTTTGGAAATGCTTCCCATATGTGTACGAAAAGAACTAAATCTGGTATTGAGTGAAGAGATTAAGCTAGTATCAAAAAATCTAATATTTAGGTCTCCTTTTTATACCCTACACCACAAGGTGGTCAGAGTATTATGCCTTTGTGCATTTGTTTGTAACAGACAAAAGGAAGCGAGATAGACACGTAGTTACTTTTGAGGATCTCCATAGAATCACTTTCTGAGTTGATTTATGCATGTCAGTCCGTCTGTCCGTCCGTCCGCCCGTCTGTCCATGTATTCTTGTGAACAAAATGCAGGTCGCATTTATTATCCAATTGTGATGAAATTTTCCAAACAACATTTGTTTGGCCCAAGGACGAACCCTATTGAAATGGGAGATAATCGGTAAAAATTCAGATATAGCTCCCACATATATCTTCGTCCGATTTGCCTTTTATTGTGCACCAAACGTGTAATATCATTCCGAATAGTATGCAATTTTGCACATAGAACCAAATTAGGCCTGAAAAGAAGTATGCCAAATTTGTTCGAAATCGGTTCAGATATAGCTTTAGCTCCTATATATATTGTTCATCCGATTTGTTATTTTTGTCCTCCGCAGCCGTAATATGCACTCTGTAACAACAATATTTGGGGAAATATATTAAATGCAGCTCAGAAATACCTTTGTTAAATTTCATCGAGATCGGTTCAGATTTGGATATAGCTCCCATATATAACTTCGTCCGATTTACCTTTGATTGAGCACTAAACGTCTAATATTTGCCCAAATAGGATGGAATTTGGCACATACGATCGAATTGAGTCTAGAAGGTAGTATGTCAAATTTGGTGAAGATCGGTTCAGATATAGCTATAGCTCCCATATATATTGTTCATCCGATTTGTTGTATTTGTTACACACAGCCGTAATATGCACTCCGTAACAACGATAATCAGGGAAATATATCAAATACAGCTCAGAAATATCTTTGCCAAATTTTTCGAGATCGGTTCCGATTTGGATATAACTCCCATATATATCTTTATCTCCCATATATATCTTTATCAATACAAGTCCGAATTTAAAAGATACAAATGCTTCGGCATAGTTAGTCCTTTGAATTTTAAATTATAATTATAATCATAGGGTGTATGATTAAATTCTCCCATAAAAACTTTTAATTTTTATGTGGAGCTCTACTAAATTAGCAAAGTGGTGTAGGGTATCAAAAAGTCGGCCCCGCCCGACTTTAGGAGTTTCTTTACTGGTTGTATCTAGAATTGAGATATGGAGGTAGTTTTAGAAATTAGTACTAAAATTATACGATAAGTATAAAGTGTACTCAATTTGGTATTGGGTGAAGGGATAGAGCTGAAATCCTGAAATTTTTATTAAAGTCACTGTTGATATCTTTGGTTAAAATATGGGAGTGGTTTTTCTGAAATGCCTCTTATTTTTGTACGAAACGTACTAAATGTTACTATATTTGATATTGGGTAAAGGGATAGAGCTGGAATCCCGAAATTTACTATAGAGACCTCAGCCTCTGAAAATTTAGTAGGATGTATAAAGATTTGTTTTAAAAATATTGTCAAACTGAACAAATTATATAGTTTGGGTATTTTACTTAACACGAACTGTTGGAACGAATCTAAAATTTTAGGTGAACTTTTCGCTGACGAAGTGTCGGGTATTTGCTAGTTTCTTATAATTTGGTATTTTGGCATAGCTTCTATGTAACGTTACAGTCCGAATGGAGTTTTTTTTAAAAAAATTTAAATGATTTTTTAAGGGTATGGTTTCTTGTGTGAACCATATGTTACTACAAATTGCTATTTTGACTTCTCAATTTATATGTAACTTCGTTCGACGGACCATCCGAAATTTGAGATTTTGAGACTTATTAGAAACATTTACATTCATATTGGCTTTTAAGATGGTCAGAAAGCACAGGATATATGACAAAAACGGAATTCCGTTCATTCGGACATATTTTCTAATATTTTCGTTCCCTAATGGTGGACGGGATCAAAAATTCAAAACGGTCCTGCAAAATGCTCCTTTCTTATTTTAACACTTAAGATATACTTACCTTAAGTTTTTGAAAATCCAGTAATTCTCTCCAATGTACAGCAGCTAATTGACGAAATTCTGTAAAAATATAAAATAAATAAAATAAATTAATAAATTAAAAAAATAATAAATAAATAATAAATTAATCATAAATAAATTAACTTTTATATAATCAATAAAATTATGAATTAGTACTACGAATTGACATCTAATATATAATGTTCTTACTACATTCAACAATAATAAGAAAATTAAAATAAATGTATAAATTCTGTTCTTAAATAGAAATTTAAAAACAATATTAAAACAAATAGTGTAAAATGTATGATTTATTTATTTAACAAATATATGATTAAAAATTTATTAATTTAAAATTTTTTTTTTTTTCTTATATTTTTAGATTTAAATTTTATGATCGAAAATAAATTAGTGTGTTTTTAAATTAAATGCAAATCAAAAGAGAGCAAATGGAATAATAAGAGAAGAATATCAAAATAATATATAACGAAAATAAAATGATATATATAACTACAACTGCCATGTAAATCCGCATCAACAAATAAAGAACAACAATAAGAGAGTTACAATTCATAAAAAAGGTAAGTTGGATAAAAAATTGTATTTAAAAATTTATTATGTATTTATTAAAAAAGAGAATATTTATTTTCAAGTTTTTCTAGAAATGGTTTTTTATACCCTCCACCATAGTATGAAAGGTATATTAAGTCTATCATTCCATTTGTAACACCTCGAAATATATATTTTTGGACCCCACAAAGTATTTATATACTCTTGATCAGCATAAAATTCTATGTCGATTTAGCGATGTCCGCCCCTCCCTTTGTGCGTCTATCCGTCTGTGGAAATCACTCTAGCTTCCGAACGAATTGAAGTAGATTGATAAAATTTTGCTCAAATTTATATTATGTCTGCTAGACTTTTGGTATTGAAAATGGGCCATGTAGGTCAACGTTTTCGTATAGCCCCCATATAACGATACCTCCCGATATTCGGTATTTTGATGATTTGAGCGACAATATTCATCGGAATTGTTTCAAATTTAGTATTTGATGTTCGCAATGGATACTACAGCCTATGACAGAAAATTATCTATGCAGGTCCACGTCTTCCTATAGCCCCCATATAACGTCGCCCCCCGATATTCGGTATTTTGATTAATTTAGCGACATTCTTTACCGGAATTATTTCAAATTTGTTATTTGAAGTTCGTAATGGATACTACAGCCTAAGACAGAAAATTGTCTGTGCAGGTCCACGTCTTCGTATAGCCCCCATATAACGGTACCTCCCGATATTCGGTAGTTTGATGATTTTAGCGATATTATTCAGCGGAATTGTTTGAAATTCGGTATTTGTTGTTTGAAATGGATACTGCAGCCCAAGACAGAAAATTGTCTGTGCAGGTCCACGTCTTCGTATAGCCCCCATATAAGGGTATCTCCCGATATTCGGTATTTTGATAAATTTAGCGACATTATTTACCGGAATTGTTTCAAATTTTTTATTTGAAGTTCGTATTGGATACTACAGCCTAAGACAGAAAATTGTCCACGTCTTCGTATAGCCCCCACAAAACGGTACCTCCCGATATTCAGTATTGTGGTGATTTTGGCGACATTATTCACCGGAATTTTTTTAAATTTGTTATATGAAGTTCGTAATTGATACTACAGCCTAAAACAGAAAATTGTCTGTGCTGGTCCATGTCTTCGTATAGCCCCCATATAACGGCACCCCCCGATATTCGGTATTTTGATGATTTTAGCAACATTATTCAACGGAATTGTTTCAAATTTGGTATTTGAAGTTCGTATTGGATACTACAGCCTAAGACAGAAAATTGTCCACGTCTTCGTATAGACCCCATATAACGGTACCTCCCGATATTCGGTATTTTGACGATTTTAGCGACATTATTCACCGGAATTCTTTCAAATTTTGTATTTGATGTTCGTAATGGATACTACAGTCTAAGACAGGAAATTGTCTGTGTAGGTCCACGTCTTCTTATAGCCCCAATATAACGTTACCTCCCGATATTCGGTATTTTGATGATTTTAGCTACATTATTCATCGGAATTGTTTCACATTTGGTATTTGAAGTTCGTATTGGATACTACAGAATATGACAGAAAATTGTCTGTGCAGGTCCATATTTTTTTTAGTTTCGCATTTGAATATTGTAATGGCTTATGACAAAATTTACCTATGCAGGTCCATGTCATCGTATAGACCCTAATATAACAGCTACATTCGGTATTTTTAAGATTTAACAGAATTGACAAATGGTGGAGGGTTTTCAAAGTTCGGCCCTTTTTTACATGTTAAAAGAATATATCAATTTTTTAAAATTTTTCTAGAAATGTTTTTTTAAATAATAAATTTTAAATTTATTACTTTAAATAAATTAAAATAATATTTATATATTTTTTTTTCTAATTGAAACAATTCTAAAAATAAATCCAAAGTTTTGAACTTGAATATTGATATTCATATAAATATTTAATGTATGACATTTTTCGAAATTATGTTCTGTCTCCTCTCTCTCTCTCTCTCTCTCTCTCCTCTCTTTCTTTTTATTTATATCATAATTTTCTCATCCATATTTCAGTAAGTCATCTCGAACAGGTTGTAGTTAAGTTCAAGTTCTATATAAAATAAACCAAAAAACAAAAAACTTGCCCAAAAATATTTTCAAACATTTCACCATAAAAATGTTCCGAGATTTGTTGCTATCTTCGAAGACTTGAAAACTAACTAAATATACAAGTTTTTTCTTTGGTTTGTTTGTTTTAATATTAATAACAAAAAAATTGCACTGAGTGTTGAATAATGAAAATTTGCCAGTTTGCTGCTAGTCAGGTTCGAGACTCGGCGTTTGCGTTGAATGCGCCATTTAATGACTCGAAATAAAATTAAGAAAATAATGATGTTCTGTTCGCACAAAGAATATTCAAAACATAATTGAATGCAACACACTTTGCTCTTTGGACAGTAGCTGGGATTTTTAATTGTTGTTAATAAACATTTAATTATAGCAGCGTGTCATTCGTGGACGGAAGTTGGACGAATGGGTGATGTTTGCTGCATAACAAATTGGCAATAATAGAAAAAAAAAATCGAAAATTAAAGTTATAAATTAATTTCACTACCTTGTATAATATTTGTATTCTATGCAGAGAAAAGATCTTCAATAGATATAAGAGGTCCTCCATGGACAACCTTTTTAAGGGTTAGAAGCCTATTTCACTATGGGAGAAAGAGACTCCCTCCTTTCTTCAGCTCGTTTATTGCGACTCCGTCCATTCTTCAGGTCGTCTATTGAGACTCGCCGCTTCAGCATGTGCATAGAGACGGTATTCAAATATCCTTCTGCTCGAATTTAAAGACTCCCTCTGTTCGCATTTAAATATTTACTTTTCAAAGACTTATGTGGAATATAGAAATTCTTTGGATCTTTTATGGTTCGAATACCTCCTGGAAGACCCTTTTCAGGTCTTCTGTGGATAGAAGACTTTCCTTAGGTCTGTGGATAGAAAACATATTTTTTTTTAAGATTTCTCCTATTGCATATAAGTGGCCTAAGACCAATAGGAGACCTCTAGCTCTCCTGTGGCCATTAGGAAGCCTTCAGCTCTCCTAAGGCCATTAGGAAGCCTTTAGCTCTCCTATGGCCATTAGGAAGCCTTCAGCTCTCCTGTTGGCATTAGGAAGCCTTCAGCTCTCCTATGACCATTAGGAAGCCTTCAGCTCTCCTATGACCATTAGGAAGCCTTCAGCTCTCCTATGGCCATTAGGAAGCCTTCAGCTCTCCTATGGCCATTAGGAAGCCTTCAGCTCTCCTATGGCCATTAGGAAGCCTTCAGCTCTCCTATGGCCATTAGGAAGCCTTCAGCTCTCCTATGGCCACTAGGAAGCATTCAGCTCTTCTATGGCCATTAGGAAGCATTCAGCTCTCCTATAGCCATTAGGAAGCCTTCAGCTCTCCTATGGTCATTAGGAAGCCTCCAGCTCTCCTATAGCCGATAAGAGACCTCCAGCTCTTCTATGGCGGGTAGAAGACCTGCAGCTCTTCTATGAACGATAGAAGGCCTGCAAATCTTCTATGACCGATATAAGGCCTGCAACTCTTCTATGGCCGATAGAAGGCCTGCAGCTCTTCTATGGCCGATAGAAGGCCTGCAGCTCTTCTATGGCCGATAGAAGGCCTGCAGCTCTTCTATGGCCGATAGAAGGCCTGCAGCACTTCTATGGCAGATAGAAGGCCTGCAACTCTTCTATGGCAGATAGAAGGCCTGCAACTCTTCTATGGGCGATAGGAGACCTCCAGCTCTCCTATGACCGATAGGAGACCTCCAGCTCTCCTATGGCCGATAGGAGACCTGCAGCTCTCCTATGGCCGATAGGAGGCCTGCAGCTCTCCTATGGCCGATAGGAGACCTGCAGCTCTCCTATGGCCGATAGGAGACCTGCAGCTCTCCTACGGCCGATAGGAGACCTGCAGCTCTCCTATGGCCGATAGGAGGCCGATAGGAGATCTTCAGCTCTCCTATGGCATATAGGAGACCTCCAGCTCTCCTATGGCATATAGAAGACCTCCAGCTCTCATATGGCATATAGAAGACCTCCAGCTCTTCTATGGCATATAGGAGACCTCCAGCTCTCCTATGGCATATAGAAGACATCCAGCTCTCCTATAGCATATAGGAGACCTTCAGCTCTCCTATGGCATATAGGAGACCTTCAGCTCTCCTATGGCATATAGAAGACCTTCAGCTCTCCTATGGCATATAGGAGACCTTCAGCTCTCCTATGGCATATAGGAGACCTTCAGCTCTCCTATGGCATATAGGAGACCTTCAGCTCTCCTATGGCATATAGGAGACCTTCAGCTCTCCTATGGCATATAGGAGACCTTCAGCTCTCCTATGGCATATAGGAGACCTTCAGCTCTCCTATGGCATATAGGAGACCTTCAGCTCTCCTATGGCATATAGGAGACCTTCAGCTCTCCTATGGCATGGCATATAGGAGACCTTCAGCTCTCCTATGGCATATAGGAGACCTTCAGCTCTCCTATGGCATATAGGAGACCTTCAGCTCTCCTATGGCATATAGGAGACCTTCAGCTCTCCTATGGCCGATAGGAGATCTTCAGCTCTCCTATGGCATATAGGAGATCTCCAGCCCTCCTATGGCATATAGAAGACCTCCAGCTCTCATATGGCATATAGAAGACCTCCAGCTCTTCTATGGCATATAGGAGACCTCCAGCTCTCCTATGGCATATAGGAGACCTTCAGCTCTCCTATGGCATATAGGAGACCTTCATCTCTCCTATGGCATATAGGAGACCTTCAGCTCTCCTATGGCATATAGGATACCTTTAGCTCTCCTATGGCCGATAGGAGAACTCCAGCTCTCCTATGGAATATAGGAGAACTCCAGCTCTCCTATGGAATATAGGAGAACTCCAGCTCTCCTATGGAATATAGGAGACCTCCAGCTTTTATATGGCATATAGGAAACCTCCAGGTTCCCCTGGTATATTGGAGACCTCCAGCTCTCCTATGGCATA